TTTTCGGAGAGGACGAATAATTGTTCGAAATAATTGTTCTACGCGTGGAGACTGTTACAGTCGGCGCACGGTCGAATAGTCGGGTCCGTTCCAACGGGTCGCGACTTCAAAAGCGACAGGAAGTCCGTCGAGAACCTGTACAAGAGGGTTGCTCGGTGGTTGGACCGCTCGTTAGCATCAGCTGCTCGCTGCTTAAAAATAACCTCTTCCTAGTCGCAAGGCACAATCGCTAAATTAACGCCGGCAGCGACGCCCTTCGCAATGGAAGACCCATCCGCAGTGCCTCTAAATACGCCGGCTCGCCGTGGAGCTGTTAACACGTGTTGCCATGGTGGTCATCGATGACCTCTCGTCAATTGCTCCTCGACAATTGCGATGATAAGCTCGAGCATTTTTATATCCGCTCGACGCGAAGATGTAATTCTATTTACTACTGCGCCGGAACTTCTTCGACGATCGACTTCGAGTAAAAATGTTCGATAGCGCGAGTAACTAGATGGAGTAACGTAAGAACCGTGATGATGTCGGGTAATTAGAATCTTCTACTTATCTTCGGTACGAGTAAATCATATATGACGAATTTCACAACGAATTTAATTAATGTTCGCAGTAAAACGTACGGCGTTGGACACCGCGACGCTATAAACCAATGGACGAAAAGAAACGCGGACGAGCCAACTCGTCTTCGGCGGTTAACAAGCGACGACATCCCGAGTTTCTAAAGCGGCGGCAGGGCCTGGAAGACTCCGCGGAATATGAATAACATTTACAAAACCGAGGACGGGGATCCAACATAATTCTCAGCGGCGTTCGTCGTGTAATGAAGACGTTACGACAGCGCGGGCTCGGCATTAGCATACACCGCATCTCCAGAGAAGTGAAATCGCTAGTCAAACCAGATATCCCCGCTAAAAGAAACATCCTTGCCCGTCTCTTTCGATCGTCGACGCTGCGTTTTTTTCCATCCCGCGTCCGGTGACAACGAGAATATCGAGCGGACAATGGGACGATCAGTACGATCGATGAATTCCAAAGGTTCTCTCGCGCGAGATCCGCTCGCCCCGAACGCGGTTAGAAGACCGTGCGACGAATAGTTACGTAAAGCGTGGTTCTAGCGGTCGCCCCAATCAGTTAATGCACGGGTCTCGTTCGGCTACTCGAGCAAGTAACCGAGCCGCGATGGTAATCGCGGCGCGCCTTACGATGCGCGCTTATGTAGCACGGTCAGGCTTGCCCGACTGCTTTCACAATTTACGCGCGAGCCCGTTATTTATCAATTCCCGCGCCAAAATATACGGCCGAGCGACTGGTAGCGGCGGCTAACTAGGCCAGTCCTCCGATAATCCGGCGGAATCATCCCATACCGGTTCCAAGAACAACAGAGGCCGGTTTAGAGGCGAATTTCCACGGGTTCGCTGCTCAAGAATCTCTCGACTGTGCGCTAGAGCCGTCTAATTCTAGAGCCGAGCTCTGATTTTCCGGTTGGATGTTCGACGCTGCGAGAGCACCGTCCTCCCCCTGCTCCGCTTGCTCCTCGGAGGGGGGAAGGACTCTTTTCACCTAGCGGGACCCTAGGTGTCCCGTGTGCCCTCGACGGTATAGAGGAAACAATAAGCTCAAGACTCACCTGCACGTCAAAGTGAGTGGTGGTGTCTTGCGGTTGCGGGGGTCCCTGTTGCTGTTGTTGTTGCTGAGATGGGGGTGGACCCTGCGGGGGCGGCGGAGCCTGTGCGCCAAAGAGCTGGGCCGCGTGGGAATGCGGGTGTTGGAGATGATGCGTCGGCGGCGCCTGGTGGTGCTGGAGATGATGCGGAGGCGCCGGGGCGAAAGCGGCCATGAAATGCTCCTCGCTGCCGACCACATCCACGCCCGGCTTCAACAACACCACGCCGCCGCCGCCCGTGCTCACCGCTAAGGTGGCTGCGGCATTCTTCTGGAATTCCTCCTCGCCTGGAGAGGGCTGACGACTCCCGGGTGTGCGACTGTAAAGAGACGTGCACGTCAGTGTCGGTGATTGTAATTAGACCGCGGATTTTCGCGCGTTCATGGGAAACTCGAAGGTGCAGGATTAATGGAGGATGCGCGGAATGCGAGGCATGAGTCGCGAAGCGTTGTTATTTATAGTATTCCTTAGGTAGAATTATTTTCCATTGTAACGACGTCTTTCTGATTAGTACGAATTTAAATTTGCATAAGACAGCTTCTTCAGACTGCGATCGAGTTGGAGACTTGACACTGGAACTACCATATCGATTGATTCGCTCGGAAGCCAATGTGGTTAAGCGCAGAAAAGAAGAATTGAGAAAGCGAATGCTTTGAAAATGAATTTCAATCGAAATTCCGAAATAAAACGTGTATTCGGTAATCGCGAAAGAAGAAGCGAGGCTGTTATAACTCATTCTAAAATACTGATACGACGTTTAGCTAAACAATGCACGAGAGATAAGATAATCACGGAATAAACAGGGATCTACAAGACACTCTACAATGTATCACCGACGAAATTCCTAAGTCGCATGAATCATTCCAAGTGTCCGCGGCGAAAATTATTCTGCGATCCATAAACCACGGTGAAATACCGAAAGGAGTTACGTAACAGCCCCGCGAAATTCGCAGAGCTCTTTTCATCCTTCCGCGCTTCGGTTCACGAATTTCGTCTATACGCGTCGATCGGACACGCAGGGCTCCCGAGGCGAGCACAATACACGCGGCGAAAATAAACTCAACCCCGTTGACCGCCTCCCGAGACAGCTGCACTTTTCCGTAAGGTGGATACGTAAATCTTCGGCGGCTTAACGCGCGTCGTGCCGCGCCGAAAAGAAAGCCTTCACGGCTGGATGTTTATAGACCAATAAAGCAACCACTGGGATATCTTCGTTTCGAGGAGCCCGCGCAAGCCTCTCGTCGGCGCGTTGCACAATGGCCCGCTGACGAGTCCGTGTTCGCTCGTTAAAGTTCGGCCCGCTCTTAATTTAAACATTTCACGGGCCGTAACGCGACGGTTTTTGTAAATTGAATTCCTTTACGTTCAGAACTAGTCGGCCGGGAGTCGATAGCCTGAATAATCCTCGCGAGAGAGCCACTCGTGAACCAGTCGCGCGGGATTCCGCGAATACGCGATTAACCGCGCGGCGTAACGGTACGGTTTGCATAACGACACCATAATAAGATACAATGATGCCTTCGGCCGGGAGAATCGCGACTCTACGGCGAGAAAAAAAAAGGGCGAGTGCCTGGAAACCGTGACCGCCTACCGCGAAAAGCAAACATCATTACCATAATGGAATTAATAAGCAGACACGGCGTCGCCGGGACCACGCGTAAATCCCTAATGTCTTTTTTCCGTTTCGTCCGTGATTATTCATCGGATTACCATTGACGCTCAGCCTCGAGGAAAATGAAGGTGATCGACGAGAATCATCCATCCTGTTACTTGCATGTTTTTTCTCTCGAGCGGCGTGCGTTTACATAATTTGATAAACGACGGCGTGAAAACACGACGCGCGTTACGCTTTCGTGAAAAGGAATATTTGATAGTCGCTAATCGCTGCTTACAGGTGAGCAGATATTCGCTCGTTGTAAATTAAACGAACACGCCAGGTGGCAAGCTTTATCATACAAAGATAACGGTATCGCGTTGACGACGAACGGTTGACGGGCAGAGCCGCCGAGCAGCACGGGACAACGTCGGTAACGTCGAACGTGGGACGACGTGAAGCGGCGGGCACCAGGTGGCGCGCAACGACGGTGTAACGGACTGCGGAGAAAGAGGCGAACGGGTATGATGTCATCGTCCGCGGGTAGATATACGCCCTTGACAGTTACAACTGTTACGTTGTGGTCGGGCCGATGATAACTATCTTTCTACTATCTTCTAATTGGAAATTGAGCTCACGATTCGAGAATGTTCTGACTTCACCACGGGGCAACGCTACGTTGCCAACCGAAGGGAATTCTAGTACAAGCTGTTACTTGTATCGCCGCAGCGGGTAGGGGTGATTTTTTTATTCGCCTCGCAGCTCCAACTCGTTCGCAACGCAGGCGATACCCGCGAAGCGCCTCCCGGATACTCACTTGAATCCTTTGTCATCGTCGAGACCGTTTTGCGATGCCAGCCCGTTGTTCTGTGGACCGCTGTCGTCTTTAGAACTGTCGAAGGGGCTTGCCGAGCCCTTCTCTTTTTCTTTCTTATCCGCGTCGGTGTTCTGCATCAGAAAAGGAGGAACCAGTTGTTGAATACTGCGCGTCGAATTCGATGTCGAGCAACCTGCGCGTCACTTACCAATCTCAGGGAAACCATCCGGGGTTCCAGATCTTTGGGTGTCGTAGGGCTTGATCCAAGAACGTACTCCACCATTTTCACACCTAGACCACCCGTCTCGCTGGAAATAAATCGTTGCAATGTTAGTATACAGGAAACGACGAGCAACACTGTCGATCAGTTGCTATTCTACGTAGACATTCAGCTTACTAACCTGCTTCTAGGGCTAAGGACCGTCCCAACTTCTGACGTCTGATGATGATATCCTGTCCCAACGCCCACGCGTCTACCGGTGCCCATGGAAATCGGCTGCGACACGGCATGATCTGCAATGCATTAAAAGTGTCATTAATCATCGCGTCGACTGTACCGTATACCGCACTCGGACGAAGTCGGTCGCTTAGAGAAACCCATCACCGGCGCGAGTATTCAAGCCCCGAAATTCCGGGCTGCGATTTCCACCCCCGTGGCTGATCGCTCAACGCGAAATTAACGCGACAAGAAGACTACGACCCTGCCACGATTACCCACACGAAGGGTTCGGGAGAAAACGCTTTCTTATCCGCGCATCTGTAACGTAATCTCATCCCCTGCGAAACAACCTTTAAACGCTCGAGCGCTGCAGACACTGTACATTCCAAGTTAACCCGAGCATCCGAAGGGAAACGGTAAAACAACTGTGAATCGATAACCTGCAACGCTTTGCGTTTCCTTTTTTCAATCCAGTGAATTCGGCGAGCGCTCGAACGTTTCTCTAGCGGCGACTTTTACCAGGTTCCATAGAGGCACCATAGAAACAATTATAAATTTATAGACGCATCCAGAAACATTGCAGACGTCCCGACGACGGTCATCCGCAGTGAGTCCGCAGTTTCGCAGGCGAAAGAGTAAAAACCGAAAACAGGCCTGGAAAATCACGGACCTTAGAATCCCGCCTCATCCTATCCCTATCAACCGATGATCGATAGAAGGCGCGTCGGAGGGTGGCAGGAAAATCCGTGGTAAAAATCGTGGAACCTCCGCCGACCAACCCCCTCTAAAAGCAGCTTTTTAATTTCCGTCCCTCGAATTCTCTCGATCAACCCCGTGCTTCCGCCAGGGCAAGCTAGTTACAGGACACGCGCAGAGGTCTTTGCCTATTTAAAGAAGACAGCTTAATCCAATCATACTTTAATGCATCGCTTCGATCGTCTATTTAAGTACTCCCGAAAATCACAGCTACCGCCATTCGTCAAGATAGTACGCTACAAACGGTCCCAGCAGAAGCAGCTAACGCAACCAGACGTTACAATAGAACCGAGTATCCGCTAAAGAAAAACACCCTTCGCATCAGGGGTGAAAATCCTGCAGCCGAATCGTCAGCTTTATCGTACGCCCGATACGATCGGCATAGGGTTGACGGGATGGAATGCCCACGGTTCCATGGGGCTCGGAATTTCGGCGGGTCCAGGTGGACAGGGGGTTGGTCGGCGGCTCGTCGGCGGCGGCGCTCGCAGGGTGGATCAGTAGGTACGACCCTGGGCGTTGGGACGTTGCCCCCACCGCCGGTGATGCCGGGCGTCTGTCGCCATGGCAACAGCCGCGTTGCACCCATCGCGCGGTGACGCACACACGCGAGCAAGGGAGCGAGCTAGCTAGCTGGCGAGCGAGCGAGCGAGCCGCTGCCGCCGCGTGCACATGGAAGAGAGCCGCGCCGGTACATGCCGTCGCGGGAATCAGGTGTTCCGTTGCATACAGGCCACCGCTCCGCATGACACACCGCCGGCCGCGCAGCGCCGGAGGTAGCATCGCCCTCGCGCGACAACCCCGAAGCCTACTCGATCCGCGAGAAGACAGCCCCTTCCTTCTCCTAGCTCGCTCGCTCGCTCGCTTGTTACCCACCCTTCGACCCTGCCGCTACCAGGACGCTAATTCGTTTAATCGACGAGAAATTCTGATCGCGCCCCGCCAATCGATGCAGCGGAGAACGATTTTTCTCGAAGGGGTGGGATTTTCAAGTTGGATCGCGGACATCCCACTGCCTTCCATTCGTAGACTGACAATATTGATATTAGTATCGTAATCATCACCATAATTGTTGGTAGGATAGTTGATATTACTGTTATAATTATCATTGTTATTACTGCCATTGTGTCGCTGTTATTGCTGAACCACGCGCCCTTTCACCCACTCCAGCAGACCCTACCGTCGTTCCACCATCGCTCTTCCTCGCTCCCTCCACACTTTCCTCTGAACGACTTCCCCGAAAACACGGCAAAAACCCGTCCGTGGCAATCATCGCGGGTTCTAATGCTTAGTTGAGGTTTGTAGGGCGTGCGCGTTGAGTTTGGTTTATTTGTCAATGGTTCAGAGGAACAAGAGGGAGTTTGTTTACCGCGAGTGAATGAAAGTGAAATGATGATGGGGAACTAATCAATACTGCGGGATTTTAAATCGGTTTTGAGAGGCGGCTGTGGCAACCGTTGCCACCTGAAGGATATTGGATCGCAGGAGAGAGATTTCCTCGGTATTTTTCGAATGATTGGAATGGCAGGATGCAAATGGGTTAATGGGGTTTCATTTGATGAAGCGAAAGTCGTGTTTGAAGTTCTTTGAGCAACGCGAGCTCCTGGAGAACCCGGCGAAACGTGTTTGCTTAAGGATTTGGAAGGTAAACAGCTTTTGCGAAGGTTCGTACAGGTTCCCACGTAAATGTAATTAGCAGGAAAGAATACGGAGATTCTATTCTGAATCGAACGCGAAGGACCTCGCCGGTGCGAACCACACCCTCGTTTTCACAACATTTCAAGAAAAATAATCACTCTTGTCGAACGAGAAACTACCGACTAGCTCGTCCCTCGCGTTCGTTCGCACCGTTTACTCCCGCGTTACAGAGTAAATTGAAATCGTTTTAATCCACTGTTAATTGCGCGACCTAAAAATCTACCGGTTGAGACAGACGCGGAACAAAACAGACCTGTCTTCCAGCAGCCCGAGGAGGCGACGATATCAAAGTGAAGTTATTCGAAAACACGAAACGTTTCGGGGCAAGAGGACAAGAGAAAACCCTTCTGCCGGTAGGAAATTATTCCCCGGAGTTGCCAGTGTTGTGTACACATGTTTCCGAGGGAAGAATCGATTTCGAAAATCCGAGCACGCTCCGGCTGCTCCTGACTAACGAGGGGTTGGCGCGGAAGGGAGGCCCCGCGACTTTAACGAGTGCTCGCCGGGCGGAACCGGTCTTGAAGCGGCGAGGGTTGGAGCATCAACGGAATCCTAGGATATTACACACGCGTCCGCGTGTCGTTCGTCTTTCCCGCGGCGGAATTCCGTGTTCTCGGTGCGCGACGAACCGCACCGGAGGGACGCGGAGGCGCAGAGCGCGCTACGCCGCAACGTGTCCGTCCCGTTTAAAGGGATTTAAATCCGATTATTCGCGAAATCCCGGGGAATAAAGTGACTGTAAAACGGGGATTGGCGCGCGGCGTTTCCCGCGACGTCGAAAATACCAGAAGGAAAGCGTATCGATTGATCCCGTGAAGCCGGGGGAGACGCCGGATTTCCTTTGTTTTCGCGGAACGCAAACAGACCCTCGCAGAAGAGCAACAGAGAGAGATACAGAGAGAGATAGAGAGAGAGACAGAGAGGGAGAAAGGGAGAGGGAGAGTGGAGGAGAGAGAAAGCGAGGGAGATATCTGTTTTGGTAGCGGTGTATCGATTATTGACACTCCGCTCGAACTTGTGGACGACGGAGAAACGTTTCTGCCGGGTTTATACGGCGAGTCTCGGTTATCCGGGGTGTTGTGCACTGGTTACCTCGGACAAGGAAGAATCGACGCTAGAACTATCGAGCACTGAAATTGATTTTTCGAAATTCCTCTGTACGACCTCCAACGGTGTATCTAAATAGACTTCGATCAGTCGACAATTGAGATTGGATAACGTTAAATCAATTTCGTCGATAATTTCCTAGAAATTGTGACTTTTTCAATGATTGCAAGAACTCAGGAATGAGAGTACTCAGTGTTAACAAGTGTTCGTAAACCGCGTGGTGGAATTGTAAAGAGCAATTCGATAGCTCGAGAAGTTGCGCTTCGTTATTTAACTCTTTACGCTTCACAGTTTGTAATATTAGATATCAAACTTCACGATCGCGTTATATCTTTCCCTGGTCGTAGTCGCATAATAAAAACGAGATAAGTTGCAGCTGTTCGATATCCTCGAAGCGCCTCGGATAACACGGAACTCGATTAACGCGTTAAGCGCCACGGAAATGTTGACCGTTCTTTCGTAGTCGTTGTTCCGTAGCGAAGGAAAGCAGGAACAACTATTCGCTATTCGACGTTGCAATCCTTGCATTACACCGTTATCGGGCCAGTTACGTTGTTAAACGTTTTCGTTCGACATCGGTTATCTCGTGTGTTACGATTGTTTCCAGGTGATTGAGAAGCGTCGGTCACCGGTGACTGGCATGGCGCTTAACGCGTTCAAATGGCACTCGGATAACCGAGACTCCGCAGTACACATTGTTCTTTCGGCGGCCAATCAATAAACGAGCCGGCGCGACGTAAAATACACGCGGAAACCTCGGCCTGAACGTCTGAGAGCCTCGCAGAGAGGGGACGCGCCGAGGAACGGCTCTCCAGCGGGAGGAAGCTGCGAGAGAAAGATCCCCCGTCCGGCTTTTTATACGATTCAGCTTTCTCTAATTTTACCGGGGAACGCGCGCGTCGTATCGAGCGTTTCAGGGAATTTCTACGTCAGTCACCGGCGAGGAGACCTTCGAACCGGCTGGCCCGCCCGGCCGGCTGCGCATTTCGCCACGCCGGGAACCGAACGCACGGGGAACCTAATAAGAATCGCCTCGTTATCCTTCGGCCTGGCCGGCGGGCAGCCCGCTGCCAGCGGCGTCCATAAAAAATCATTTGCATAATACTGGTATCGAGCGAGTGGAACACGCTGCCTCCCCTTTTTTCCTTTTCGTCGAGCGCGCTCGGCGCGCGGTGTGTTTGCACGATGGAACCCCGATTGTTTCAAGCCATTGGGAGTTAGACGGCTCGGCCAATGGAACGGTGAAACGAATGACGAACGACGGCGTCACCGATTCGGCTAGCCCAAGGTTTCGATAAGCGAGACTTTCGACTGCCAAGGCTTCGATAATGTGTAAAGAGTTCGAATAATAAAGAGTTCGGTTATCGAGAGTTTGGACAGCCAAGGAATTCGATTAGCCGACGTTCGGATGGTCGAAAGTTAAGGATAACCGAAATTCAAATAACCGAAGCTCCGCCGTGCTCGCGGGGGAAGTGGAAAAGGTACGTCACGATCAGACGGCGCAAAATTCCTCGGAGCCAGACCGCGGAGCGAGAAATTCTCCCCTTTATTTTCGACTCGTCTTTGCTTACGGAATCCCGAGACGCCCTGTTCAAATAATTGAAGTTTAACCACGGGAAGACGGGAAGACGGGAACTTCGGGTAAAAATTGACCCGACCGTCGCGGCTCGGGGGTTGCCGGGGAAACCGGAGGGCGGCGGTTTAATTGCGAAACTCTCGCGACGCGATGGAGAGAGGGACTTCTCTGCATTTTTCTCTTTTTCCTTTTTTTTGCAAATAGACACGCGTATCGTAAGAACCCGGATAATATCGGGGGCTGCGGCACTGGCGGAGGAGGAACGAGTTTCGGACTAATCAAGAGAGACTGGTCCGACCGTTCGCCGCGATACTAAGGACAAAGAAACCAGTTCGATCCGTCGGCTCTCTGTTAGCCACGGTCAGAGCCTGTACGGGAATACCTGACCTGAAATAAGCTCGATACACGTCGGATTGGATATCCGGCGAAAGACTCGCGGACACCCGCGCAACACAAAGCCCCGTTGCGTATGGAAGTTCTAAAAAAAGGAAAGCCAGAACGAGGGAGATTGGTGTTTGCGTTACAATAAACTCCTGTGGAACGCGTCTTACAGCGCGAATACCTACCGCGCGCCGAAGATACCAGTCTTTTCGCGTACGAGTCGCTCAGAAGCCAATGCGGTTAGCTCGATTTTTTGATATTTTCCGATTTTCGTAAATTCTAATGGAATAAATAATATTCCACTGGTTTCTTCGTATTTCCTAGGCCAGAGAACCTTTCTATATTTTGTTTTCCTCAATTTTTGGATTAGGCGCATTGGCTTCCGAGCGACTCATGTGACACTATTACCATGTAACTCGTTGTGTAATTAGAGATTCCGACATTTCGCTATCTCGATAGATAAACCATAAGAAACGAAACTTGAGAATAATCTTATCTGAAACATTTCCTATCGCTCTATTATGCTTTCCTTCTATTATTAAACGTTCGATCGTTGTGTTCCTTGTTACAACGTTGAATCGCCTATCGTGCAAGAGAATACCGATCAACGCGATAACCGTTCCACAAGCGCGCTACTGGATCTACGCGATCGCGTTCGTCGACGTCAGCTAGCTTTCTTTCGGGAAGAAATTAGCGCGTTCGATTCAGCCGGCTTAACCCTTGGGTGAAACAGAGAGAGAGAGAGAGAGAGAGGGTCGGAGGGAGAGAGAAAAGACATTATGTAACGATCAGCCACCAGCAGCGTCCACTCGGAGCGCATATCGATCAGGCTGCGCTCAATTTCGCGTCCGGCGAAGAAACGGCCGAGAGGACCGGGACGGATATTCCAGGGGGTTTAAAGGGCTCGAGGAGACGTCCCGAAGGGTAGGACGCCGCGTCGAGTCTCCGGTGGTCCCGATTAAAGCCCGGCTTTATGCACGGCCCGGTTGACCTCGGTTAGGTAACCGGTCGGCCCTCCGAGGGACAAAAGTCCGCGAATAATCCGACGTCTCGGGGCAACAATTAACCCTGGTGAGACCTCGACTCGTCACGTGGCAGATACTTCGAAGCTGCCTCTATGTTTATCGCAGTTTTATTTAGACGATACAACGTAGAACTAGACCTCGAGTCGTCGCGCGGTAGACCGCCGAGTTATCTAAGTTCATCGTAGTTTTATTTAGAAGATTCAACGGAAAACTTGACCTCGGATTGTTGTCCCGTAGACTTTGGAGACAGCTAAATTTATCGGTGTTTCGTTTAGGCACCGCGCGGAATCGAATGTAGCAAAATTCGAATCGACCTCTGTTTACGCCGAACATGTTTCTTTGTAGATGTTCCGAGAGGAACGTGAATTTCTAAAGTACTTAACCGCCGGTTCCGAGGTTAATGGATCCCCTAAACGATCTCGTGTGTTCCCGATCAACGGAAAGTCACGGATTCCTCGGCTCCACCGACGAATTGACGATTAACCCCGTTCACGGGATAATCCCCGCGACTAGAGCCCTAGTCCAAATATTCCCAGCCCTATTGTCCTTGATACGCGCCGGCACGCTCGATAACGCTGCGCTAATGTATACCCGGCCCGATTGTTCAATGAGCCGCGCGCGTTTCCGCGACGTTCCTCGAGCCGCGAGACACCGTTCCGATGAAAGTAAGATGCAACTGGGACCTGCGTCACGATCGCGGGCGCACGGTGTCCAGGTAATCGTGCGAGAGAATGGAAAACTCAATCTTTGGACGAGATGCAGCGAACGTTGACACTGCAATTATCGGATTACACGGGCAACGGATGCTCCTCTGACAAATTATTCTACAAGAAAGTTAGACATCGATTCGACCGGTGATTCCAGTGTTAGCAATATCGAAACGAAAAAGGAAATCCCCGGATGGAAACTGTTACTTCCACGGAACAGAGTGTCCATTCATAGATGACCGTATGCACTCAGTGTAGTTACGCAGTTCGCGCGAGCATTCGAAATAGATTTTCCCAGAATCAAGCGTGAAACCAATAAATGTTATTCTAGACTTTCCACCGACTTTTTCTTAACCCCTCGGCTACCGTTGGCGCCCGTGGAATGTTATCGACAATAACTGCAGCGAAGCTAAGATTTGACGCGAGTAAAGTCTAATTCAACTACTTCCGTTAGTCGTATATTCTATAAATGTGATTATCGTAGGATGATTTAATTTAGTTCGATTCAGTGTCTCGATGGTTTCGATACAGTTTCACAGAAATACGCGTCCGCGCAACATGTTGCCGTAGCCGAAGGGTTAAAGAATCATCGGATTCTCGGTTGCACTGATACCGGCGAGGGGCGCCCCGTGCAAACCGGAATTTCTCGGAAGCATCCTGCGCGCGAGTGGACTTGCCTCGCGGCGGAAAATTCCAGTAACGCGTAACATCTGTACCTGAGGTGCTCCAGGTAGAATCTCGCCACATCTGGTGGTCGCCCAGGTGAAGTATCCCACCGCCTTTTACACCCCCTTCGTCCTTGGAGCCGCCCTCGTCCACGCCCCAGAGCTTTTTTGCCGAGGGAGCGATCTGAAACAATAGAAGAAAACGGGTCGTGAGTGGTCTGGCCGGGTCGGTGAACACACATTTTCAGGCGCCGACACGAAACTCCCGGGAGCTCGCTCGCGTCCAAAGGTACCAAGTACGAACGATCCCATTAATTACGCTAACGAGCCGCAGATCCGCTCGAAATTAGCGTGTCTTGCGTGCACGGTCGATCATCGAACTTGATACGGCGCGCATTAACAACTGCGCCTTACGAATTATTGTCTTCCCCTGCGAGTCGAGTGCAATTCAATCCCACCCTCTCGCCGAGGAAACGGCCACACACCAGAGAGGTAATCAGGTACTACGATACTCTTTAAAGTTTCCTGACGCTGGAACTACTAGTTGGATCAAAATGACTAACCTCTGAATTCTTCTCTCGCAACGGTTAAAAAGGTTGATCAAAGGAACTGATTCAGCGATGCCTAAACATAGGTCTATAAAGTCTGAAAATAGACATTGAACTCCTTGGTTACCGCTAGTTTAATTGTACTGTTAGCGCCCATAGGCAGCCGCGGAATATGTAATTACTTCGATTCAGTGTTTTCATGGTTTCAATACACTTCGTTAGAAACATACGTAGACGCAACATCCTAAAGAGCTAAAAAGCCCACTTCAAGTGCCCGCCAGTGTAAATGAATCTACAATCGAGCCCCGTGCAAACGCTCCCCGACGAAGACAAATATTTGAAACACTTTCACGTCTCATTCCCAGATCCAGCGGATAGGCCTCCGAAAATGAAACCCTCCGGAGGAGCTTATCTAGCGGACCCCATCCCAAACGTGATCGGAATTCAAAGGGTGACTAACCAAGCCTCGATTTAGTTCCACTATTAAATACCTTTCGTTCTCCGACAGTCACCCCTGCTCTCCACGTTCCCCATTATTTTTCTAGCCGAAAGCCCGGGCAATCTCCAGGCAGCGGCGACCGAGCTGCCCGCACGGCGGCAACGCGTCGCAGAATCCCGGTTGATCCGAGGCGAAAGATTCACGCGAGATCGGCGATCGAGGATCGCGGTGACCCCCGAACGCTCCCGCTGCACTGTTCCCCGACCTCGCCTAACTCTGGAGGTCAGTGACGTAACCGGCAGTCGATCGGGTGGGGATGGAGGGAAGCGTGCACGGAGATTGCGGGATCCTAGATGCAGGTATACTACTGGTGCACGCGCGACGCCGACAGTGCAGGCCGGCCGAGAGAGTCCTCCGGTGCATTCCCGTCCGCATTGTCGCCCCGGCCAGCCGCGGATCGTTAAGCGGAAGCACCGACTCGATTACACGGACGCGGCCGGGCCGACCCGGGTCTCTCTTTCAAGTTCCCTTCTTTTCATCGGGCTCTATTCACCGGGAGAGCCCGAATCGCGCGGCTCCCGATAAACGTTCCGATCGAACGTTCGTTCCAGCGGCTAACTAGGGGATTAGCTTATTAACTTCTCGCATCTCCCGGCCCCGCTCTCGCGCGCCCATGCTCGTCCACGTGCACGCCGCGCACGGAGAGACCCCGTTGGTCTCGCCGCATAGATAATTGCGAGTATGGATCTCCCTTTCGAGCTAGACCCAGTGGAACGCGATGAATTATTGAGACGTCCGCGACCAATCACGCGCCGCTACGTCCCTTCGCGTTACCCGGTCTACAATTACTCGATTCACTTCCATCGCGGCTTCCACGAAGGAATCCCCCGCGTATCGCAACGTGACGCGGAAACGTGTCGCGGCGATAACCGACGCGGACGACCCTTTCGCTTCGGAGCTGTCTCTCTTTCTGATTATGCACCACCCCCTCGGGAAATGTTCGGTATCCCGCTGAACATCTGTATTTTCTTTGGTCGCCGAATGAATGCGACGCTTGGATATTCGTGGAATCGACGTTGCATTCGAGAACGCGTCAACTCGGTGATAACCAACCCTTTGCGAACGAGAGATTTCAAACCGTGGAGCACGGTTTCTATAAAGGATTGAATTGTTTATCGAGATGAAATGCCAGAAGAGAACAGACCACGCATCAATCTCTCGTTACTCGAATAATGAAATCGTTCGTTCGACTTCAGATATGGAAGCTCCGCATTATTATATTGCCCAAATTGGTCTCGCGTCGCGCAAAGAGGATTAACCGTAGATATCACTTTCAATGAAATACAGTCGCTCGTCTATGATTAAAAGCCCTGTTGCTATACCCGTAATATTCATCCGTAGATTGCACACGCTACGCGGCGAGCGTAATTTTTTTCGTCCGGCCCACGAGTACAACTCGTTGCCGCTTGCGTTCTCCGCAGCCTCATATTAGCGTGACTGATTAAATATTCGCGGCGCGACCTTAGGGTCGTGATCGGCCGTGACTCATCCGGCGGCCACGTAAGAACGAGAAGCGAAAAGGGCGCGCGAATCCGACGCCGGAAGATTTCACGTTTGCGCGCGTCGAAGGAGACGAGAGAGGCCCCGGCGGCCGGCGCGGCGGTGCCCTCGCGGGCGCACGCGATATTTATATTTTATTGATCATGCGAACGATATCACGTACAATGGCACGTGCGTCATGCGCCGAGTAGGTGTACCGGGCTCGAACACATCGAACCCGGCGACGTATCGAGCGCGGCCACGAGAGAGCTGTTTATCGCTCGCGGGCCGCGCCGCTTAATTGTGTCTCACGCCGCGGAGTAACGTGAGCGGACATCCTTTGCAACAAATTCCCGGCGCTTATCGCGCGGCCGCCTCGAAAACCCACGGCAGAACGCGATAACGCCGTTTTTCCTTGGCACAGATCCCGGCAACGAATTGCCCGCTGCGATCTAGGAAAAATCAGATCGACCCTGTCGTCACGCGAAACGATTATATTTGTCTACCCCCTGGCAGAGAACACGATGGAGGGCGAACCTTCAACCCTTTTGAGACTGTCGTCGTCACTTCGACATCGAGGTTCCATATTTAGAACGCGAAGTTGCGAAGGAATAATTCGACTCTTCGAACAACGAGAGACGAGTCCGCATACGAAGCCCGTTTAGTAGTATCTTAACGTTTCATCTGCTATTAATATAAAGTTCGAACTATTAATATAACGTAGCGTCGTTCGCTAAGCAACTTGTTAGAAAGCTTTCGCGAGCAGTTAAGCAGTAGAAGCTCCGAACGCGTATCGTACCGCGGCAAAGTATTTCCCCGAACGGCGGGTATACCCGAGGATCGAAAAACGTTCGAGCGCCGACGTCTCAGCGCGAAAGCTTACCGGACGACGAGGATAGGCTGAGGCACAAAGAGAGAGAAAGGGAGAGAAAGAGGCAACATTTCGTGGCCCGATTGCTCGCGAGACTTGTACGCACGTCTTTTCACCTAGATCGACAAATCGGCGGATAAAAGGGAACCGAGGAGGGGAAAAAATCGAACGAGTCGCGCGGGTTTAGAAACCGGTTAGAAATCCCACGGGTGAAAACACCGGCTGAAAGAGGCGGCCTGGCTCCGCGTGCGCCGTGATTCGCGTGTCAAGTTGGAAAGCGAATCTTCGCTCGCCTCGTCCTACGCAGCGAGCTTCTTCGTCTTCCCTTCGCTCGTTTTTATTTTCATGCTTCTCCTCTTGCGCTTCCTTTTTTCGAAACCGCTTCGAGAGAGCCCGGCTCGCGCGCTCGCTCGCGGTCGCGCGCGCGCCGCTCTCTCCTCTGGAATTCTTGAAAATTGCCGCGACTTAAGGACGATCGTAATAAGAATAACGTCTGCGTTACGTAACGAGCCGAGGAAACTGAAACGAGTTTTACACCGGCGTTTGTACCCGGCGAGCCCTGCCGGATTGCCCCCGCTGGTTCGCCGCGCGTCTGCATCGTTGTCGCTCTCTCGTTACGACGCTACCCACTCTAGGGTCTCTCCGGCGAACGTGCAACGAGGACGAGCCGCGTTTCCGTTCTCGGAATCGACGCGTTTCTCGCTCGCCGCGGGTTTCCACCTTGCGGGCGACAAAGAAATACCGTGACACGCCGGGGCCGAGATTAACCCCTTAACTGTCGAGCCCAGTGACGTATACGGGCACGACGGATAAAAGAGAAGCGATACGAAACCTGATTGATCGCCTGAAATTCGGGAGTGAGGGGCAGTTTGTTGTGTGAAACGGGAAACTTTCGTTGGGAATCGAATACCGACGAATTCGTGTTACAGGGTCAAATCCTAAATAGACATTAATTGGAATTAATTGAAGTTAATTTCCAGTGGTGTCTTATAAACGTCGATTGTCTAGTCGCGTTAGGCATGCTCGATTGTTTCGAAATATATCACTGTACACGAAACTATGAATAAATCAGCGTACATATCCGTGTGAAACAGGTAAAAACAAAGTGGCTCGCACGCGACTTAGTCAAATCTCTAAATTAAATTCCAGCGCAAGAGGTTAAATCGAATTTGAGAACAGCGGGCTTTCCAGCGGCGTTCGCGCGATGCTCGAGATAAGATAGAATCTTATGGATACCAGGCCCGAATCGATATCTCCGGTGTACGGCTTGCTAATTTCCTTTGGATTCGACGCGTGTCGTCGTCACGCGATGCATCCCGGATTTGCCACCCCCCTTCCCGATAAAAAGGTTTCCGTGCCGTGAAGACGCGCTCGATCCGTCGCGTCTTTCGACTCGCGGCCAATGGAACGCGATTTTCGAACGTAACACTGCGAAAGCTGGGGCTGAAGCTAATACTCGTTAATACTTACGGCTCGAAGCATCGCAACGATTTTCTACAGAGTTCATCCACTCTCGATGTTTCCAGGAACAGTACAGAGAACTATACAATAAACGCTCGTAAATCTACTGGTAAACACTTGAACTAGATGAATAAAACATCGTTCGCCGATCACCGTTCCAGCTTCCGATGCGAAACTTGGCAATCGAGGCTGCCTAGGATTCACGAATTCGTATTGAACTTGATCGCATCGCTAACGAAAGGTTCGGCAAGGTAAGGGTAAGGTTCGGTCAACCGGGGGCGATACGCCGTGAGTATCGACCGCGTCGCCGGCCGGCAGAGAGACGC